AAAACTCTGTAGGCGAAGTATCCCAAGCTCTACTGTATGTGCCTACAATATATCCCGTATACAAAGGGTCCAGAAATCATTGTTATTTCGTTTAAGCAAACGCTCAAACACTCTTCTAGTTTCTAGTGTTGAGTTCAGTGCATTCCTTACGTGCCTATTTACCATTTATATAATCGAGGAACAGCTTATCGAGCTCAAAATGTCGGCACAAAAGTCTCTGCAAAAATAATCCAGCAAGGGCTTTTATCAGGAAACTATATAAAATTTTCAAAGACACCAAAGATGCAAACACAAGCATTTTACCATTAACGAAAATTTGTCCCAACACAGTCAGCACATAGAACATGATTAAGTCCATGACAATACCTTAGACACAGGCGAATCAAAAATCTTTGCTTCGTAATCAATATCAGGTAAGCGTAAGACCATATCTCCATCACAGAATAACATATAAGTCGGAAGTTGGTGCAGATTTCCTGTTAACAAAGTTCATCTTAAGAAGATACTCTTAAATAGGGAATAAACACGCTTAAGAACAATATAATATAGTAGGGCAAATAAAATGTTCTTTCTACCAAGGGTGATTCCAAACTTCTCGGCAACATTTGGAAAGAGTCCGACATCAATTGCCGCGAAGGATAAATTTTTGTTTGAGAATCTGAAGAGGGAAAACCCAAGTGTTAGATAGACAATGAGAAAAATAAACAAGACACTAATGACAAATTATTCAGAGTGAGACAAAGATGCAATTGGGCAAGACTCACGTAATTGAGAGTTTAGGTAAAACAGAACTTGATCTTATGCAACTTGATGTAGACAAAGAACGAAATTCGACCTGCCAAAGCGAGTCAAGTCAGTAGTCAAACATATTTCACTTAAGAGAAAGAGACCCGAACAAATATTTTGCCAATAGGAAATTGAAAATCGTAAAATTTTGAAGCTATTTCACATGACCTGCATGGATGAAGTAGTGCACATGGTCAGAATTGGGATATTATTAATGAATCAATTGCATAGAGAACAAAAATGTAACTACTAAGAGGATGTCTACACACCAACCATCCAGAATTTTGATGTGTTCCCCTCAGTAAGCAGTGTCTCCAACTGGAGAGGTGTTAGGTGACTTGTTGTGCCTAGATAAGTTATTTTAAATAAAACGAAGAATAAACTGAAATCAGGCATGGAATAAATGTCGATGTACTGTTTGTTATAGCATTGCAATTTGACTGTGTAAAAAGTTACTGTAAGCTTGATATAAGAGAAGCTTATACTATTGCAATTGGACTGTGCCAAAAACTAACGTAAGCTCGATATAAGAGAAGCTGGGCGGGGAAAGAAGGAAGAAAGAAGGAATCTGATTGGAGAGTAGACATTTTTGTACCTAGTCCTCCATAAGCAGGTTGTTGTGAAATGATATATATAACTGCCACAAAACACGAAAATTGACCCATTAAAGCTAAACTGATAAAGTCGAGCATATTGCGCAGAACAACCATATTGCAGAACAACCAAATCTAGGCAATCGAAATTCTTAATAAGTATAATAAAGTCGAGCATATTGCAGAACAACCAAATCTAGGCTACACTGATGCTAAAGATTTTCCTAATACAATGTCAAAATCATAGTGCAAATGCAAAGTAGGGACACATAAAGGAAAGGTAGTAGTTCAATACATACTGGCAAATGCTACGGCATACCACAAAGCCAAGTGATAATCCATGACCAGAGCAATAGCTGCTAGGAAAAACTGGAAAATGAACTCTCAAGTTAGCTTATACACTCTCCAAAAAATGAAATAGCAATAAATGTGCGTAAAATGAAAAAAAAGTACGTAAGTAACAAGCTGAGTTAAATTTTTGCCCCATAAAAGGTTGTTCAGCATTATTCTAGAAATTTTATTCAGCATGTACTGGAGAAGGAAATTTTTTGGAAGCATACCGTTCTATTTCAATAACAAACTATATTCCTGAGGTTTAAGAGGCACACATGCGCATATAGCAGTACATCATAAGGATCTACAAATTTATTTGGATCGAAAAAAGTTTCCTCCAAAACATTTCATCATAAAAATTAGGGTACCTTCGCGAAGAATAAGGTATCGGCTATACAAGCCTCCCATGATTCTGTTTTCACCACCTACAAATTAACATCAATGCGATCACGATCCTTTGTTAAACAGTCCCCAACAAATCTTTAAACATTAACACAATCACTTATGGTTAACTCATAGCTGCTTCATCTAAGAACATTAGTGCTCGATTTTCGATAACGACATTTGGGGAAAGCATGGCATTC